AGTATACAGATGAGCAGGCAGGCAGAATGTGTGGTAACTAGTGTGGTGTTGTGGGCCCTGAAAAGGGCCGTACCTCTAAGGCAGGGTGTGCCCCATAAATGCCAGTGAAACTCTGGCTGCAGCACACTGGGACATCAATCTTCCTTGCTTTGGCAGCCAGGTGACTGCAAGCCGGCCAGTCTTCTTTGTGTCAGAGGCCAGATGACAGTGAGCCAACCGATCTTCTCTGCATTGGCAGCCAGGTAACTGTAAGCTGGCTGATCCTCCTTGTGTTGGTGGCCAGGTGATTGTGAGCCAGCCCGTCTTCCTTGCATTGGCTGATGATGTTGCTGCTATGAGACTCACCGTTACTGTCTGCACTTCAGAGAAGCTGTCACAATGCACACATAGCTGCGACTGACTAGCATGCAGGAGGTCCGCACCTTTATACACTGTCACTAGCGGCGTCCAACCCAATGGCTGTTGGAGTTTCTGTGGTCTGCACTGAGTGGCTAGTGCTTGCTTCAATGTGGGAGGCTCCCACAGGTATTAATAAATATATTAATTAAAAATGGGCTGGAATTTAAGAACAGTGAGTGTATTCATTTCTGTTAGCACAACTTCTGTATAGATATATTGTAGCATCCTGTTGCACATCACTTATTTATTCCTGTTAGCCATCTCAAAACATTCATAACAACCATACATGACACAATAAGAGGAACTACCCATCACCATAAGACATGGGCACACAAACGATGGCACATGGCAGCACAGCAGTTTCAACAGCAATTATAGAAACACTGAAGAAGACCAATATTGGTTGAAATATGTAGTGTGCATACATCAGTGATGTAGAAGAGATTTTAATATTTAAAACTTCTAAAAGCTTCAAAGAGCAAGTTACATGTGCAACGGCTAACAGGAATAAACGTAGTACCTGACTCAGTTGTATTATGAATGTCTATATAGGACTGGAATACTTTATTCTCCTAACTGTATACTTTGGAACACAAATGAAGAGAAGAATATAGATCACCTCCTTAAATATAATACGTAATCAGGAGAGAAAAATATTGTACAAAAATATTACCAGGATGCTGACTAAAACTAAGCAAATTCATGGAGCTGCATTTTATGGAACCTGATGGTTTATTACCATGTTCTCAAGGGCCCTCCACTGGCCCTATCCTGAGCTAGATCGACCCAGTCCATACCACACCAACCTGTCTCTCTAAGATCCATCTTAATATTGTGTACCCACCTACATCTTTGTCTTCCACGTGGTCTCTTTCCTTCTGACTTTCCCACCAATATTCTATATGCATCCCTCTTCCCCCTCATTCGTGCTACATGCCCTGCCAACCTCATCCTCTTTGACTTGATGATTCTAATTATACTTTGCAAAGAGTACAAGTTATGAAGCTCCTCATTATGCAGTTTTCTCCAACCTCCCATCACTTCATTTCTCTTCAATCCAAATATTCTCCTCAGCACCCTGTTCTCAAACATCCTGTCTATTCTGCCATGTTTGAATTTTCCTCTAGCGCATGAATACCAGAAGTGAACATAGAATCTACTAACTCTTTATGAATGATGTAATGGCATGCATCATGAGCTGGGGAAGAAGTAGTGGTGTTCGTTGGCTGACCCAAGAATGGTTTATTGATACCAGCAATTCTGATAAAAGAACAAGTCACCCTTTTGGAGCACACAAATTGCAGTTTGCACGTATGCAGTGTTTAGGCAGAAAATCCGTTTTTACACATTTTTTACAACATGAATTCTCAAGAATTATGTAAAACATAGTTCTGGCAAGTCAGCAAGTCTGTAAAATTAAAAACGTATCTGCAACGGGTTTAATATTTAGCGAATATTTTCATGACTGTCGCTTGCCTAAACTACAACTGCAGCCTACTGTAGGTGTAGACAGGTTATACAACTATTTAGGTTCCCGTGGTCACCATACAACTTGATGGAAACCTAACAATGTGTAGACCTACATTTTTAACGACTGTATAGGAACACCTTGTAGTTTACTGTAGGTAAAAGATAAAGTTGTCTCTGTGCTTAACTGACTAAACACTATGCCATGGCATATGGGGGTGTGGATATTCATTCATTCGTTCATTCATTCATTCATTCATTCATTCATCAGTAATCTGTCAGATGACAGGTCCACAGTCTCTTCCAAAACAGTTCCTCCACTTAATGCGATCTAGAGCTTTCTCCTTCAAATGAGAATATCCTCTTCTGTCCCCAAGGTCATCCAGCATCTTCTTACATCTTCTTCCTCGTCTTCTGGTC